GGGGGGGGGGGGGGGGGGGGGGGGGGGGGGGGGGGGGGGGGGGGGGGGGGCTGCGGGCCGCCCCCGTTGTGGCGGCCCGGGGCCGGGCGAGGCGGCGCTTCCCTCCCTCCTTCCCTCCCTCCCTCCGTCCCTTCCTTCCTTCCTTCCCCTCCCGCGTCGTGCGGCGGCGTCGGGGCCGGGCCGGGAGGGGTGGGGGAGCGGCGGGGGGGCCCGGCGGCGGCGGCGTTGGGGGGGCGGCGGCATTTGGCGAGAAATCGGTTACATTGTGCCCAACTCACCGTGAGGTTTGAGCGGCGGCCGGCGCGGGGTCTCCCACACATCCCCGCACGGGCTCCGGAGGCAGGACCCCAGCAGGCACCGACACGTAGCGGTTCAACGCGCTGCCTGACGGCCGCGCCGCCGCCGGGCCGGGCCGGGGGGAGCGGAGGGCGACGGGGAGGACGGGGGGACGGAAAGGGAGAAGGGGAAAAAATTAAACATCGCGGCGTTCGAGGAGGAAAAATAAAATAAAACCCCGGCCCCCGGTTCGCCCCCACCCCTCGGCCGGCATTTGCATGCGCCACGCCCACCGGGAGCGGGGCGGAGCGGCGGGGCGGCCGCGGGCTCGGAGCGCCGGGAGCGGCGGAGCCGCGCGGGGGTCGCGGGGCGGACGAGGGCCGTGCGGAGCGACACCCCCCCGGGCTGCTCCGCGAGCACCGGGAGCGGCCCGGGATCGCCGGACCCGCCGGGCTCCGAGCCGGCAGCCCCGGGAGCGCCTCCAGCCTCGCCCCGGGAGCGGCGGGACCCCCCGGGCGCGATGTGGGGGGGGCGGGACGGGCAGCGATCGCTGCTACGACCGAAGCGCGGGCACCGACGCCGCCGAAACGCGGGCGCCGACGCGGCCCGACTGCGGGAGCCGACGCCGTTGGAACGCGGGCGGCGGCGGCGCCGAACGGAGCGCGGCGGGCCGGGATTCGGCACCGCGACGCAGGCAGCGCGCCGGGCAGCCCCGCCCCGCCGCGGGGTCCTCGCGCTGGGCCCGGCTCGGCGGCGCCGAGGGCGATTGGCGCGCCGAGGGGCGTGGCCCGCCGCGAGGGGGCGTGGCCTCGAGCCGTGTTTACAGCGAGCGATTGGCTGAGCCGGCGGAGGGGGGCGGGGCCGCGCGGGAGAGGGGCGGGGCCGGCGGACGGGGCAGCGCGCGGGATTCCGCCGCGGGCGCCGGCGCTGAACGCGCCGTCCTCGTCCGCCCCTGTCCCCGTTCCCAGGAACCGCCCGGCTCAGCAGCGAGAAAACAACGAAACCCTAAAAACACCCCCCTCCAAAAATAATAACAACAGTAACAGAATCACCACGGCAACCCCAAACAGCGCTATTTTTAGGCGTGCTTACATGACACGGCGGTGAGTAACGCGGTGACGCAGCGCTGCTGTCCGCTGTCATCCCGGGCCGGGATGCTGAGCGCGCGCTGCAGGCGTCACAGTAATTAAAGAAGCGCTGTAATTAATTAAGGAAGGGGCTCGGTGAGAAATGCCCGTTTCCTTACCTGGAGCTGATGGGTTTGGGATGGAGCCGTCAGTGAGCAGCGCTGCTGTGAGGAAAAACCCAAAGCGACCGAAAAACAGCGCCTGGGCGCCAGCCGCCCGCCCTGCGACCCAACGACCCGCACCCAAACTCCGCTCTTTCTTCCTCGAAGCCATTCCTTCGTCCCCATCCCCTCTGGGGGCCGAGTCTCTCCTCCCTGCCCCCTCACATCCTCACAAAGGATCCATCCCCACAGAGGATCGCTCTCATAGAGCCAACCCCAGAGACCCCCTCAGCGGACTCCTTCGCAAAAATCCCCTCCAGATTCCCTCACGCAGGGCCGCACTCCACACCGAAACCCCCTGACGAAGAACCCCTTCCCCAGGCCCCCATTCCAGCCCCGATCCCGCCGCCCCGCCCCGCTCCAAGATGGCGCCGCCGCCTCCTTCCCCTCAGCCCGTTTTTCCCGCCAAAGAGCTCTCCCCGTCACGTGACGGCGCGGGCGCGAGGCGCCGTCTCCGCGCGCATGCGCAGCGCGCTGCCACGAGGCACGGCTCCCCCTGCGCGCATGCGCAGTGCGGCGGGCACGCGGCTCGGAGCGGCTCGGCCGCCATTGCTGTGCGGCTCCTCCCGGCCTTTGGCGCCGGTTCTGTGAGGGCTGACGGCTGCGCGGGGGCCGGGAGGGGTCGCTTTCTGTCGGCGGAGCGCTCTTCGGCCCCGGTTGTAGCAGCGGAGGGGGGAGGGAGCGGCGTTTTGCGCTACTGGGATGGGCGTTTACCTCAGGGGTGGCCGGGGG